TCTAGCATAGATCTCGTGGCAAGGCTTTTCTGCGAACATCATCCGACGTTGCTCATCCCGACCTGGGCCATATGACTGTATTATCGTGTGCCCCCCTCCATGATTAACCGAAAAATTCTGAAAGGGAAATTTATCCACACCAATGGCTATCCTTATGGTTTCCCCCTTACTGTCATGCGCGGTAGAACATTTGACCCCAGCACCAGGTAATGTTGAAATAGAACACTATGTCAAGAGGACCCATATCATAGGAAATTAACGAATCGGTAGTGCGACGTCAGTTATCTGCCTCCCTCCGGCTTTGAACATTGCACCGACCAACATACATGACCCTGTTATTACCCACACACCCACATCCAGACCCATACAACATACCTTGCCACGTAATCCTTAAATTGGCGAAGGCTATACACATCTGCACCGCCTATCTGTATTAACACGATTAACACTCGTCGATGACGGTTTCATGCCTCCCACCGTTTCTAATGAAACTGCTCGTAGTGTGAATTATCATCGTGTTCCGGTTGAGAAGATCAGTATTCCCTGCATGTGAGCAAAATACTTTCAGATTTAGAATTATTCACCCTCCTATTTAGAAACGGTCATCATCGTTGCAAGTCTTTTCCTGTCTTCATGATGACCACAAACTTGTCAATATTTAAGTTTAGTACTCCTTTGGAAGAATCATCACGTCTTTTGGAAAACATGTGATTGTCTCCTAATTATGCGGTGAACATCGTCGTATGCAGAGTAAATGAAACGTGAACTGAAAAGCTCTGAAGCGTCGGGCAGCTGTTTCTACCTGGTTGTTTCTCATCAGCAGTGCATTAACCGAGGATAGGTAAAGCCGGGACATCACAGGCAGAACACAAGCATACCATTGCTACCAGTTGATTACCCGTGGTAGCTGATCAGATCGTGTGTTTTTATTTCGCTTAATTCCCAATACACAGGAAAGAATTGCAGCACAGGATGCGGCCGAACGACACGCTCAGTTGACGTTGCATGCCATGGAACAGGAGTACGAATTTGTCAAACGCTATCGGGATCATTTGAGGCGATACATAACACTGGTAAAGAATACACTTCCAATGCATCGTAATCTCACCCAGAAGCTTCACGGATTAGTGCATGAGGTGAGTTATTCAGACTAAATTGTAGAATAGAACTGGAGATTTTGTTTCCCAGATCCCGAATTCATTCATTCTGGCTTAATTTTCTTTTGCTTTCCTCTCCAAGTATTGCCCCATCAAGCTGGCATTCATTCAATTCTGGTAACAAGGAATGCTTTCTGAAAAACATACCAGAGCACATTACAAATAGAACAAGGAGTGGCGAACAAGCTCGTTTTCAGTGATTCGCATTCATGCCAAATACATCACAATAACTATTATGCTGTCTATATATAATTCAGTATTCAACTATAAAAACGCAAACAAATGTTTTGGAAAAGGGAAAATAACCTCATGGGTTATTTGGGGTTAATTTCATCTTGGGACCGGATGTGGAATTGTCAATGATCACATAATTGTTAGGTAATCCAATCGTTGGGACCACTAGGAATATGGGGTGTGTGGATGGTGTGCCAGCTGAGCTTAAGCGCCTGCACAAATTGCTTTTGGGCACACAAAGGGGGGGTGTGGTGCAGCCGAATTCCTACCGCTTCCGCTGTGGCTAGCATACGATAGCGAACCTGCTTTGATAATCAACCACAAACCCGATGCAGGGAACGGAATACCTCGGTCACATTCACACTGCGATTTGTTTCAACTAGGTGGGAAACCACTGCACTAGTGGGTGACTTAATCGTTCCTGGGTTAGTCATGCGGAGTGGTGTTCACGGATTCGCTCGGACAAACGCCTGACTATACGGCCTATGTACGTTGTGCCGCAGGAACACGTAAATGAGTACACACAAAATGAGACGGCAGAATCCGGCATTTTGTCCTTGTCGAAAATACACAATTGGCTAGGAAGTGAACAAAACATTGAGCTTTGCTGCATAGAAGGTAATACTAAGAGCATCGGATAGTCTCCTTTGTGTTACTTCTGCTGATGTATCCCGCTTGAACGGCAAGGCAGTGCATACCTACTTCTTTCTGACTTCGGTCTTCTTCACAATGTCTCCACTGCACTGAATCATCTTGCTAAACAATCGTTCTGGATAGCCATTGTGTGTGAAGACAATACGTAGGAACCGGAGCTCTTCTTCTATTGTGTCCTCACCACGAATTTTCCTTGCTCTTATGCTAGGCAGCGCACCAAATTCCTCTTCACTTTGAGCGGTACAAAGCTGCGAAAATGAATATATTGGCGCTTCCAAGTCGTCTACCTATGCACTGATCATTGCACCGAGCCACCCGATCTACGACTGAAACAGACGTCTAGAAGTGCCAATTTCTTGTCGTTTTTGATTTTTAAATTAAATCTTATGTTCTGGTGAGCAGCATTGAACTTGCTCAATAGCTCATTTGTTCCTGATGTTGTGCTGATCACGCACAGAATATCATCTACATTGCATGTAAATAACACACATTCCCGAATGGAAGATCTGAGTTGGTTATTTTCGAGTTTCGCCAAGAACACATCAGCAAAGAGCGGTCCTAGAGGTGATCCCATAGCCACACCATCATTTTATCGATAAATCTACTCGTTGAACTTGAAATGAACGTTTTATGTGCTAAAACAAAGCAGTTGTTTCAGGTCTTCCAAAGGAAGGCCTATCTCAACATTGTTACTTTGTACATAACTACACAGGTATTTGATGGTTTCGGTGATTGGAACCTTGGTGAAGAGCAAGCTACCGTCCAGTGAAAGCATTGTCAGACCTATCAAGTTTAAGTCACGAATGGTGTTCACAAAAATTGAATGTGTCTCGTTCGCTATATTTCGCTAATCCAATTCTCACGGGCTCTAGCAAGTTAGCCAACCATTTTGCAAGTGCGCGGTAAGGTGAATTGCACATATTCAGAATTGGTCGCAAAGGTACCCCTTCCTTGTGCACCTTCGGCAACCCGTACAGTCTGGGAATCGTTGTCCCAGTTAACCGGATTCGTTCAAAAGTGGTCGCATCGATTACTCCATTTTGCTTTAAACATCGCAATATCTTTGATAATGTAACCTCTATTTGAGCGTTTTTGTCCTTTTCCGTTGTTTTGGTGAATTTCGGCCTGTCACTCAGTATGGCTTCCATCTTTTGTACATAATCTGTGCGGTTCAGAAGCACGATACCCGCCCCTTTGTCGGGCTTGGATATCAGGATTTCTCTATTTTTCTGCAGGTCTCTGAGTCGTTTGAGATGCTCCGGTGTCCCTAGTTCACATTTTTTTACTTTCACACTCTGATGTTGATAGCAAACATTGGCTAAGTTTGATTTCAGGTTTTCCAACTCCAAGGCTGACGAGGGAACGAGATCAGAAAGTTGTGCATGACTACGAACCACTGAAAACAAGCTTGTTCGCCACTCCTTGGTTTATTTCAAACAGGAAATATTGAGCTACGTCGTAATTGGGATTGTTTGTTTATCCTTATTTTTCTAATGTGTGCGTTTACAATGATTGGGCCGCAACTGTTGGCCAATTGAAAAGCACGCCACGCAGAGTTGTTTGCTCGTTATTTTGATGATTGAGTTAGTTCATATCTAAGTTAGCGCGCTTGTTTGTGAGAGAGACTGTAAGGAGTAAATAACCAAATGTTTCCAATTTGGGCGATCCGGAACGTTTAGCGGCTTTAAGTCCGAATACCGGCCAAGCGACAAAGCAGACCACAAGTCCGATTAAATCAATAATGTTCAACGAAAATTGACTTCCTTATGTACCCAGTATTTGATACCCCACTGTTGGAATGGATCCCGTTGTAAACACGCGGCTTGTTTCATCCTATATTGACATGCAGATTACAAACAATGCTTTGTCGCAGGGAAAATAAATGCAGAAAGATCTGGGTAAACTCAAAGACAGTACAAATTCCCCAAGTTTAACTGGAATAGATAAGAAAAAACACTCTATTCCACAACATTTCTTTGACCGAATTGCTAAATTTGTAGAGGTGCATATTGCAGCTCCTTAACAGTGAAAATAACAAATCCATTCTCAGATATGCCGGGAATTACCGATTCAAAATTTCTAACTCCAATTTTCTGAACAGTGTGAATTGCTCATCATTCTGGAATTATCTTGGTAACCAATAAGTTTGATCGATGCTGTTATTCACAATTTCCCTTGACCAAATCATACACTGGTGGTCCCTCGATCTGCAGACCGTATGTAAACCGATACGATAAAACCTATCATTGGAAACCTGCGTTTTGGTTCCTCTAATCAAATAGAGTACAGTGTTTTGAACCATGCGATTTATTTTATTGTTTGCCTGCCTAATATGATTCTTCACGATAAAAGCCTTACACCCGCTCATATTTTTACAGTAGTTCCAATTTCGAGTTAAATACAACAAGCCTTATGAGATGGTAATGCAGTAGTTAAATAAAGAATCTATGGATGAAGACCTCTGTTCTTAGATTTCATAACAAAGAAAATATGATCATGACGCTTGAAGTAATACCGCGAGCCAAGTTTCACACCCCTCGAGGGTTCAATTCCAAACAGGCAGGTTAGTTAGAGCTTTGTCAGGCATTTAAGCCATGACGATGTGTTTGGTAAGGTTTGGGACAAGCATTACGCTTCAAAATATTCCATTGATTGTTTCTGTGTGGGAGGGTTGGGTCGGCAATTTTAATGTTTTCAGAACGTTTTGAACTTGGATGGTAAATGAAACAGATGCAATTGATTTAATCAGTGAGCAACAAAACACATTCATCCAAACATTCACCATCTAAGACTCATTCATATTTGGCATCAACGTACCATTCTGTAGTACGTACACTTTCGTTTGATAATATATATTTATGTGGGTAGTGCATACCAATAAGAGGGCACTGCACATTTACCGCGATATCGCCTTCAGACGGACAATCGGAACAGTATGAGCGGAAGCACATTATGTTTATTAGTTTCATGCGCGTCTGAATTCAGACTGTACCAAGCAAATCATGGTACAATAAACTTTATGAGGAAGAACAATGTTCGATAATTTACACTGCCAGGTTTCTTAGGCCAAGGCAGGTGAATTTTCTTGAGGAACCCACATCCGGAGCCTTCGGCTAGCCGAAGCTTGATTCACAAAGCAGCGGGCGGTGTGTAAAACCCGCAGTCCATTGGGGGTCGGCGTCCAGTTCATCGGATCCTATGCCATTTAAACGAGGTCAAACGTCCAACGTGCCCGATAAACCTCGATGCTCAGTCGAGCCGGTGACCACTGCTACGACCAGGAAGTTGTGTGTGTGGTTCGTACGCCTCTTCTTGTTTGGTTTGGAATCAGGATTTTTAGCCAACTCCCCTAGGTGAACTACCAGTGGTCCACCAACCCGGTTATAGCCCCAGATATTGGCTTTTTGTCCTCTCACTTTGGCGGGCAAACATCGCCGCCGCGAGAAGACGGTGCTTAGGGCCTCCTCAACAGAGACTATTAGAGACACTTAGTCGTATGGGAGCACTTCGCGAAGTACAAGGGAAGGGTGACCAGCCGCAACCCCAAAAATCCACCCCCGAACATACTGAGGCTTTTGGAGGCGGCATATACCGTTTCCTTGATCAGAATGATAATATCTGTAGCATTCCATGATTATCTGTTTGTTGTATGATGGATTTAATGTTGTATCAATCAGTTACCTGTTTGTCAGACATTCCATCATATGCCTTCAGACCCCGGAGCGTCTCTAAACATGATACCTGAGAACCCTTTCCGACTGACTATTAAAAACGCTGCCTTACATGGAATTGCTGTGGGATAGCTGACAGAGAGCACTGGATAGCTGTTTTATATTTTCTGGAACTCGACAATAATATTCAATTTTATTCCCTCACTGGATTTAGAACCACGAAAACTCCTATTTGGAATCGAAGCCCTGACTCTTCAGTTGCACAAATGAAGACCAGCACATTGGACTAATGGCTCTATTACTTTAGATTTTTTTATATCTATATGAACCCAATGAATCTTCGAAAGCCACCAGGTGCAGTGTATGACCTCATTTTGTGATGAATTGAGGCTTCACTCCTTGGAAAGTTATTCATTGTTCGGATAATCCTCAGAGCACAGTGATTTCTCACACCTAATCTTTTTATAGCTAATTGGCAGTCGTATGGAATTGGCCCGTTTGGTGGAAAAAGCCGAGGATCCCGATATTCCAGGCAGATTGCGTATTCTTGGGGGAAAAGATCCATCGCAAAATGAATTGTGGATCACTCTGGGTAAATTGGAACGAAGAATGGCTGCGAAGGAGGAGGATATGGCTGAAAAGAATTTGACCTACGAAGCCGTTTGCCGGCTGGTTGACAGTCTGCAAGTGCGGGCTACTGCTGGCAAGTAAGATTACGTTCTGTACAAAGCCATGCATGTGATTTTGCTTAACGTGTGAATTATAACCGTTGCACGAAAGTGCATGGTTAATGGTTATGAAAAATGGTTATGAAAACTGAACCTAACGGAGTTGCTTTTTTGGTATATGTTTCGACACTTTTTGCTCTTTCAAGCTCATTTTCACGGGATGGGGGGGGGGAGTTAACCAGTCTTTCTTTCACTGTGCATCTTGATTTGTTGTTTCTCCGCTATCCGAGATAATTGACGGATTTGATAACTGTGATTGGTTGATAGACAGTTGTGTTATCAGAAGAAGAAAAAGTAGAAGAAAAGCACTAAAGAGGAAAAAATGAGGGAGGTTGAGAGATCGGCAAAGGAGTTGGAAGTGATTTCCAGAAGGTGAAGAATAGTGAATAGTGAGGTTAATGAATTACGGTGAACGAACGTGTACAAGCATACAAAGATTACTAAGTTTAGAAGTAGAAGATGAACTCCACGGTAAGTGGATTGATTGTATGAAAAACGTTTGATAGCCCCATGTGCCATATATGTGCTTGTTTGTTTTAAGTCAGCGACTGAGAAGATTATGCGAAATGTTAACATCCAACCTTTGTTTGTCAGAGATTCGCGTCTGGAAAATTGACGGTTCAATATACGAAGTGGAAGTAGAAGCATTATTATTAGTATTATTAAATCAAACCTTCTATCTAGGCCAACGTTGAGTGACGCACAACCTCAGAAGCCAAGTCCAAATGTGCTAGGGGTTTAATCACCTCCAAACATTAGCGAATCATAATTCGGCACTGCAAATATAAAGCGCTGCAATAGCATAAACGACACCTCAAATGGTGGCGTTCCCAGAGGATATGCCTGAACTGGCAAAATAAACAATGCCAATCGATAACCCAAGTGCAAACGAGGAAGATCAAGCGAACAAGCGATAAGTGAAATAATGTCAGAGCAAATGTGCACATGGGACTGTGCGACGTATTGGTGAGGCAGAAGACCAATCCGAATCATACGGCAATAATCATAGAACAGGTTGAGTCAGATCATATCAGGGCCACGGACAAAGGTCGCGAGAAAGGGGGAAGGGGGGCTGGTAACCGAGTTTGGTGGGCGAGCGAAAAATTGGAGTTATTCGTGGCGAACGAAAAGTGCCCGTCTGGTGATCGATAATACGCACGAATCAAGACAGGTGTAAATGTGTGCAGGTTGGCATACAGATTCAACAAATTTTACGGTTGCAATCTTGGATGAACCCATTCGATTGTTAAGAGGCACCAGATATTATTACTCCCAAATTGTCGTCATTGTGCAACAGAGAACAAAATATTAGGCACGAACTGAAAGCTGCGGTGGACAAACGACATGAACAGTTTCATAATGACAAACTCAGAGTATTTTTCGGCAGAATCCAACGTGATCAGTTCAGAAGAAACCGTGAACTAGTTGTTTTTTTAGATGAATCGGCAAAAGGACCCCACAAATTCGATTCTTAAAAAAGGTTAGTTTTACCAACATCCATGAAGTTTCCGTCCGTCTAAGGTCTTTGTCATCTCGGTTGTTGAAGTTACCTGCACTAAATACCAAATGGATGCAATCATGTGTTCTGGGGTTTCCGTGCAGTACGCTACTGCCGCTTGCTTCTGATGTTCCGAGTGAAATCCCCTGCCATTCATTCACCGAAATCATCTTCATGTTCTCGTGTTTTTCATTTGATCGACACCTCTAATCACAGAATGAAATATCTGTAAATAGCTTATCTCGTTCATGATTACCTGACACACCGTTCTGGTTGTTCGTTACATGAAACAACAGTTAGAAATTATTGGGATTTTTGTCAAATTTGTCCATCTTGAGTAAGTGGAACTAGAGAAGTTCACTTAAAGCGCATGATTTTTAAACTGTAAAAGTTCTGATCTACTTTATATTCCAAGCTGAGCATTCGTGAAGCGTATCATAAATCCGTCTGAATAAAACTATCGTGTAAAGTATATTTTATCCGGAACAATTATGCAAATTAATCTGTTTACCTGTCCGCTTGGGAATCGTGTATTTATTACTCAAACTTAGTCCATAATGGATTTTGCTATTTTTTCAATTGTTCCACATCGTACTCGAAATGATTGGATAATTAAAAATGTGACGATTGACCTTAAACAAATTTCTGATTTACATCAGATCAGTTGTGATTGGTCATTACACTTCGATGGACCGAACAAATAACGCCATGATGTAGGCCACACTGCGAAACTCAATGGACCAATTAGAGTTGACAGGCAGAAAGTGAAAGTAGAAAATATTGTCAACAGATGATTGATTTTGACCGGTGCATCGATTCTGGTCCGAATTCAATTTGTTTCGGGGACAGTATCAGTGTTACCGGTGACGGTTATCAGCTATGCACTCTGCCTAACTGGGCATTTTTCCGCGAGTCTGATTGCATAGAACTTGGACAACTGATACACAAACATTGAAAATGCACCGTGAAAAGTGCATATCTTGTAGCACCAAAAAATGAGTGGTATTTCTCTCCCCCTGAACAATATGGTTTTACTTTTTTAAGCCTAATTTCGTTTATTACCGCATACAGCCTGGAAAAGATCAATGATCAAGTGCCCCGTACGCCGGGAAGGTAACGGGTGAAACAATCGGTTTATATCATCAAGGGGTATGTACAAAGTACGCTATAATAGATGTCTGCTACACCAACTATTTACAACCTGGAAACTGTGGATGACAGACGGAAGGTCAGCAGCTTGAGGATGATACATCAGACTTACTGCACATGGATACCGAATTGGAAAAGCATTGTTGCATAGTGTGGGTGTTTACTGAAAATGGTTTGTTTTACTTTAGTGTGAAAGTTTTCTACAAATAGTGGATAAATGTTCGGAAGCCAACATCCATTGAGCGGTGAGCAACAATAGCTGATTCACCGTTGAGGTAACTGTTTAGCAAAAAGCTATTCGGTTCAATNGGGGATTTGCCGCAACATTTTACCTTGGATTCCGTTCTTGTATTCAACATACAATTCTCTTCCAGACGACGTTCATTGAACACAAACTAATAGTCACAAAACGACTATTCAGACGTCTAATAGAATTGAACCCTAACGGACGACGACCAAAGTTGTCTGCCGTTCAGGTGCACCGAACAATTGCACAAAAAAACGGTACCCGTTTTCGATAGAAAACAATATATTACCGTTTGATAAAATTTATGCCGAGAAAGTGATAAACATCTGGGGGAATAGTAGGTATGAAACGCTAGACTACAATTCATTATTTGACCCAAAAAGGTCTAGTGTACAATTGGTATCCTGAAACCAGCTAACAGTTAGGAATTTGTTTGTGTACCCGTTATTTCGATCAGCGCCAAAGTCGCCCAATATGAACAACAGTTACTGTCATTCATGTTACGCAGTGATGCTCGACCGTGAATACAGCACAACTTACTCATTTTGATATATTGGTGCCCAGTTAAGTCACACTTTCTGAAAGTCTGGACTGGTCTTTTTTCATACCCCCTAAATCCTATACCGAGATATTTGGTTCCACTGTGATGAGAGTTATTTTTATATTTATATATTTTCCTCCACGTCTCAGTTCAGTCGGTGCTCCATTTGGGACTGAGAATCAAATATTGATTCTATCAAACTTGTAGGCTCCTCGTACGAAAAAGAACGCTACACTCGAAACATAATCTATGGTACAGTTGCAGGAGTTTCGCCACGTATGGTGTTTTTCTTATATTGTTTGAGAGAATAGTAAATTTACGGTCATAATGTAGGCACAGAATGTAAGCACGAAATGTGTGCAACACCTATATTCTTCCATGTTTACGGAATGGATGTTCTGACACATCATGGGTTAGATGTATGGATCGAGATATTAGTAAAAAGAGCAACGGAATACGACCAGCGCGATCAGTAGGATATGCGTGTTCTGTAAAAAAGTTTTAAATTACTTCATGGCATATGTATGTGCTTGAAGTCAACTGGATGTTGACATTCAATTTGTTTCTAATTAACTTTTCAGTATCCGTCTGGTTTTTATAACTTCCTCTCACATTAATTATCAACCTAGTCGGGATTTTTATTTGTTATCTACGACACAGGGCGATCTTCACTGCACACTGTCAAGCTTCAGACGGTGTATGTATACAGCCAGTGATGAATGAATGACCGAAGTAACAAGATTGTTTTAGCGGGGCGAAAACTGACCGGACATGGGGTAGCGGGCAATCTTCGGACTGGATTATCCGCACGCACGCACTCATTCATACACGCACGCATTCATGCACGCAAGCACACACACATCACATTTCGACACAGTTCACCACAGCTGTTCCAAATTCCCAGACTGCAGATTTTCCGATCAGATTGAATCCCTGTCAGTTTTAATTGAAATCCGACCAAAATGAAATCTGCTGAAGATTGAAAAGAACAACTGTTTGCTGGGTTCTTTTGTTCACATCACAACGACAATTTGAATCCGTAAATAACGCAACAGGCTTTCTGTGTAAAACAAAGCAATGATTTCCCGAAATAAATTTGAACAAGGAACACAACATTGAAAGGGAGTATTATTTAATTGGGGAATGAACTGATTGTTCATTGCCTCTCAGCTGGTGCTTATTGCGGAATACAAAACAGTTTATATATCCCACATGTTGATAAACTAACATGGTATCAATCCAGTCTTCCTTTTAAGTGGATAACAGAGCAATGCCAGAATGGTGCAGATCTCATTTTACTGACAAGGGGCTTTTGACGTTTAATTGTTTTGTCCTCCGCAATTTTTAGCGACCGTCCATTAGAGAATGTGTAAGCAATCCGAAAGGAAACCTCGTGCTCGGCTTGGTGGCCAGTCTGCAGCACATGGTGAGCAACTGATGACGCAGGTGTTCTGTGAGACTGACTTGATGAACTGGTTACTTGTGTAGCCCTCAATCTAATTCGTTGTCGTTCGACCCATGCTG